AAAAAATGACGTCAGGCGAATCATGTAATCAATCATCATCAAATAATGAAAAAATTTGAATTCAATCCTAAATTCTTGGACTCAAAGCGTGCATCACTTTCTAGGTACTACTCCGCGGGCGTATACTCATGACAAGTGTGGGTGCGTACGTGCGTGCGTGCGTGCGTTTATCGTCATTCGTACGTAGGTACACGCGTGTGTGCGTACGCACGCCGGGACTTGACAACGCGCCAGCTGTCACTCGCCGTTTACGCCGTTAATGAATAGGCGACGCAGCGGGAGGGAGGGACGGCCGCGGGGGCGTTCGCTCGATTACCAAGATTAAAGAGTCGCGTCGCGAAAATCGATAAGCGTTATATTCGCGGCGCGGCCGCGTCCTATCGAGGCCGGCGCATTTTTGGATTAATAATTGACGCAGGATAATGCAGGATAAAATCGCCGTCGTTCGTAACGCGCGCCTAGGCACCATAAGTTTTCTTCGGCAGTCATTATCGAGCATTCCTACAAGTTACGACACCGGTTATTATTACGCGGTTTTCCCCTATTTTATTATCGAGTTTATAAGTTCCACGGTTCTTTCATGCCCTTTTTACGATTCGATTAGCGTTTCGCTCTTCTTCGTTCGTTCCTAAGTACAGCTGTCTAATACCGAGTTTTATTCCGGCCGACATTACGTGGACATTACATTCGGAATTATTATTCCATTATTAACTGATTTAATACGGCATTGAACAAAACTTTTCAATAATTTTTTCAACTTTTCGCGTTGAAAAAGAAGTGCGTATGAAAGAAATTTAATAACATACCCGGTATAGTTTGTATTTCGTTTAGTGCGATTTCTGTTTCTCTGTCTCTCTCTTTCGTTGATATACACGCGAAGCGCGCTTATTAATCCTTAACAATCGTGCGTCGCTTGCATGGAAACATACTAATTATGTTAATTAACATTGAACTTTATTAATCACGTACATGTCGATATTTATAACTCGAAAGAGAGGGAGTAGTTATTTACGCTGATATTTAAAAAAGACGAAAGTTTTTGATGTTAGTATTCGTATAGCATATTAAAAATACTAATCAAAATGCTGAAATAATATTATGAGCTTAAAATTAATTCATTTCGATTTCGATATTAATTCATTTTTGTTCTACCGCGCCATAACACTGTAATACATGAAAGAACATCTTTTTACAAATTTAGATTAGTACAAATATTAATGTATATCTATTATATTTTTCTACAACTGGAAGGAAAAAGCAGCGAATTACCGATGACGGTTTGCTAGGAAACTTGCGAGAGAAACGCGCGGCATTCGTCACTTCGTGGCCACCCGTAGCGTGAAACGGTCGGAAGCGTCGTCGCTCGCAAGCGGAGTCTGCCGGCTTCCGTTCCGCCAGCTCCCTCTCGTCCCGCCGCCCGTTCGCTCACGCTGCCGCCTCGCTAACCTCCCCCCGTTCTTTCCCCACCGTCCCCGGCCACCCCTTTAGTCTCTCTCACCGAGTGCGCCATCGCGCGCCCCAACCCGCGCGCCACCGCCGCGCCGTGCCGCGCCGAGTCGAGTCGCGCTACATCTCGCCCCCATCCCTTCCGTCGTTTTCCGTCCCCTCGTCTGCCGCCACGAGCCGCCACTCTGCGCGCACGGCCGCGCTTAAGTATCCCCCATCCCCCTGCCGCGTCCCATTCCGTCCCGTCCCATCCCAACCCATCCCATCCTCCGAGCGACGGTCGACCGACCGCCCCCGTCCACACTCTTGCCGATATTTCCCGCCGGCGGACGGGCAACTACTGACCCGGGTCCTGCTTCCAACCACTGGTACTCCCCCTCCTACCATCACGTTTCGTCGTTTCTGTCGCTCTGCCCGAGACTTCGATCCCGCCCGTCGAATCTCTCAAACTTGTCTCTCTCTCCCTCTCCCTTTCGCCTTCTCTCATACTCTCCCTCAATCTCGGCACCCTTTTGTCTCTCGGTGGGCCACCTCACTCCCGTCCTTCGTTAGATATCTGCCCTCTTCTCTCTCTCTCTCTCTCTCTCTCTCTCTCTCCCCCTGTCTCAATCTTCAACCTTGCTTTGGTTCATTCTTTCGTTCAAAGCGCTCGTTGCACTTTCTCCGCTGCGGAGACGAGGCGGAATCCGAGAGACTCCGCGAGTGAATTCAGCGTAAAGAGTCCGCACCGGGGGACGAAACTTTCGCCGTCAGGCGAGAACGCAATGGAACCGAAAGAGAGAAGAGGGGGGAGGACAGAGAGAGAGAGAGAGAGAGAGGGAGGGAAGAGAGACCGACTCTCGGTCGCGTAATAAGCAAGCGAACCGCCACCAGTGCGCCGTAGGTGGCACGAGGCCCTGGAAGCACGTCGTCCCTTTTTTCTCCGTCGCCTTTTTTTTCCTCTCTCTTTCACGCTCGCTTCTCTTCCCTTTTTTGTCCTTCCTCCATTCCCCTCGCCCATCTTTCCTCGCGCTCGTTTCAGAATCTCTCTCATCCCTCTCCACCTCCTCTCTTGCCCTCTCCTCGGTTTCTTTTTTTTTTCTCTCGCTTGCAGCGAATGCGCTTTCGGGAAATTTAGGGACCAGCGGCATGTGCGCGTCCTCGGCCCTTAAGTTTTCAGGTCACCCACCCGGGGAGGGGGAGGCGTGCGCGAGAAGTGAGATATATGTCGCATCTCGATCGATGGATCTCGGTGTATAGGAGCGAAGCGCGGTCGCGTCCCTATTGCTTTCAAAAGTCGGGATTGAAACGTGATTCACTTCTTTTTTTTTCTTCTTTTCCTTCGTGCTACTTAGTGCCGCCACCCTTCCAACCTCTTCGCCGTGCCTGTCGATTCGTTTCCGGACGAAGTTATCGAGTCGGCGACATCGAGCGATAGAGCTTCGCGGCGGGCTTCGTCGCAACACGATACAGTTAAATAGGAATATAATATCTTAGCCAGAGGTATATGTAAATTTAATTCCCGTGCGATTATGGAAAAGATGCTGGGCAGAAGATTCGATAGATTTTAATTTAGAAAATTTAGAAGCCATATTGCAATTTCCATAAAACAACGCTCGAAAATTAATGTTATAGTCGCAATAAATCAAGTAGCTATATCTGCTGTTGCAAACGCATATAGATTAAAGCGATATTGATTAATTGAAATGACAAATGATCGGCGACGAGTGCTCGAAATACGTCGAAGAATCGCTTATTATGGTAAGATGCCTCTTCCTTTGCACGGCCTGTCGATTATATCTCGCCATTCGTTTCTCAATAAAACTCGTCGACACTCTCGCACCCCTAATTAGGACTTTTGCACTTGGGGGCGTCCGCCGCCGCTGCCCCAAATACATCGCACGTGCGCCTATATGGGATCGGAAGGGATGCAGCTTGGAGGGTGGCCCGGAGTGCACCCGCACCGAAATATCCTACGGATCGTCGTGATTCAACAGCACAAGGCCGGACATCGAGCGGTCTAATCCCCCGGCAAACACTTCGCTGGCAAAGCTAGCAGGCCACCCTTGACGTTGTTAACGTTGACGTGAGGGACGAGGGAGGGAGGGGAGGGTGGCGCGCGGGGGGTGGCATCAAGCCGAGGCACGATGGCACTGACAGCCGCAGATGGCACTTGCCGGCTTGTTTGTCATAAAATCTCCCTCGGGCGCGAGTCGCCATCACCCGCTGCCGACCATAGTTGGCTCGCTCGAGCACCCTCGTGGACTATAGTTCTCGCGGGGGCGAGAAAAATGTCGCCGCGATTGCGTGGGCGAGCCGAGTCTGTAGGGGGTTTTTCCTTTTTTTCTTCCCTCCTCGCGCGCCTTATCGCGCACGTGAAAAATGATCGTCGTTACAGTAGAGACGTTAAAATTAGCGTAGGTCGAAATGATATTCATCTCAAAAGTTACCGCCTGCGTAGTGTAAAATTTCAGAAACAAAACGTACAAAATGCAATTTATTTACTTCAAGTGTCGTAACGATGGTATGCGTAGAAAATAGAAATAGATTACAACTATTTATATTGTTTATATAGTTCAATATCATATTTTACGTTTTACTTAAAGCTATCTGCCTCCGTAATTTTTTAAAATTATGCATTTCTTTCCTTTCGATGATGAATCCATTTCAAGAGTATTGTCCATCGCGGTTGAACGACTATCGTTCTCCCATTTTCCCGAATGATGTTTTTTCGCTAGATATCGCGTATACACGTAACATGTCTGTTAAATTATAATAAATTGAATGTTATTATTAAAACTTTATAATAAAGTCGCACTTACGTAATTAATCTTGTCCCTGCATGTGCCATTTGCTGGCAAAGTGGCGATTAGAGGCTCACTACGGGCGCGTGTGACTCTAATTACTTTCAGTGCTCGTGTGTACACGCGGATTCACGCGCTCGTCGCGAGCACGTGGAGCTGGGGTTTGCACACGTGGTACACAAGGAAGCCTCCCCGGAGGCGCTTTGCACCCTACCGTCAGGAAAATACGACGCCGGCGTATCTCTTTAACGCATCTAATATCTTTAATGTTCCTCCTCTCCCTTCCTCTTCCCCCGAAGGCATATATAGGAGGGGGCTCGGTCAAAGATTCTCTTTAATGCGCCTGTAATATCGATGACGTTTTGCAAACTGGCGGATCTCGTTATCTTCTACGAAGCTCGTGGATATCAATTACTAACGCGTCGTCAAGTTATCTTACGCGTTGCGACGTATCGATGATCTGAAAGCATGTATATATAATCTGCGTGTAGAACAGGCATGAAAAAAGGAATGCAAAATTCCTAGTGCGATCTGCTTAACTTTGCCGTTTTAGGAAGGTGTAAGAGAGAAATTTTTTTTACAGGAGACTACTTTTCTGCGACAATACTTTTCCATTTTTGTACGAAGCATATGTTTAATCGCTCGATAAGCGAGATCGTTCGTTTATCGCAGATAAAATATCATCGTCAGACGCGAAAGCTTGTCGAAGAGTATATATTACTCGCGTCCTTTTAACTTTCCCGTAATATCTCGTAATGTCTCTCAAATTAGCACGAGCCCGTGGAACGACGGAGAGATAACGCCACGAGAGCTTGGAACTCTCCAACACCTCGAATGTCGAATGGTCGTCAGCGGCGGCGGTGGCGGCGGCGTGAAATATTCAGGTCAGCGACGAGAACGTCGACGATCTTGGCGGACTTCGCCCCGTCGATCGATCTGTCGACTCGCAACGCGAATACGCGACAAATAACACACGGAGCCAGGTGAAGTAAAAATCTCGGATTTATCTTTGTGACATGCGCCACGTCCAATCCGATCCTCAAGCTACGTTATCAATAATACAAATGCACGCGCGGGCAATCTCGTATCTTTGCGTTTAGCTTTAATCAGTCGTAACTGGATGATGGCGAATAATGGACATGTATTATGGAACGCAACAAGAGTAAAAATGACAAATTTACGATAAAACATGATTTATTTAAATGTTTGATTTACAATTTGAATCTATATATAGAATTAATATGGTAGATATCACACAGGCATTTGTAGAAAAATGAGATCTACACAAACCCGAAAAACTTCGGAGACCCCTTGTAAACGTGAAATTACGATATTAGGCAAGACGAAAAGAGCAAAGGTACATATTTTATGAGAGATGACATTTCAGTTTGAGTAGTTAGTGATTGTAAACGCCCGATACAGGAGGCGATTAATTCCAGACGCGTTCGGAGTTCAACGTTCACACGTGTCTAAGATTCTATTTCAAGAAAGATGCAACGCGCTCGATGACAGACGGCCGCTCGTGCACCAGCCAAGACGCGCGATAAGCTTAATGACACGGTCTGTCGGCGCGATCAACCGACGTCAGTCCGATATTTAGTCCGGCGGGAATTAAACGGCCTGGACGATAACGGCGCGACCGCGCGCGATGGCGGCGCGAACGGTCGGGGACTCTAATATCTCTAATGTCAATTCCCTGTCCCCGGGCCGTAATATCGGTCTCGTAACCGGGCCGAACGACGTTCTTAATAAACTTACGAGCTCGCGTTATTGCGATTTTATATTTTATTATCGTTAGCCCGCCCTGGGGCTCTCTTCGCGAAGAACCCGTGACGATTTCGCGATCATCCTCCGTAACGTCATTTCGGGGTTATTCCAATTAAGAAGAAAGAGGCACCAGCGCGGATTTTATCCTCGTTGCGAAAATTATCACCAGTCGAGTTCAATATATTTCCCAAGAAATATATTGAATAGAAATTATATCGAAATAGAAATAAACGTAGGATAAATATTATTTTTTATTATTTTAAATGGAAAATTGTCTTTTTCTACTGCCATGAGAACAATCGTTTCACGGCGCTCTCTTCCTCTTTCTCTTTGTCTCTTTCCATCTTTTTTCGAATATCAGAAAATATTAAATGCAATATTTCGGTGAATTCGCACCGCTAAAAGTCAACCATCAGAGCCGCATGAACGGGCGCGAGGCGAGAAGAGGTGGCCAAAGGATGAATAGGCGATCTCGCGAAGTAGGCTTTATATTTATCGCGGCAATAAGGCGAGACTCTCTCGACGCCGGGCGTCGTCGGACCCGAGAGGGGAGGAGGCAGAGGGACCGACATCGTTGGGACAATCGGTGGCCGTCGTTATCATTAACGACGCGACGTCCAATGCGACGTCGGCGTTCTCTCCGCCTCCGTTTCTCTCTTCCTGTCTCTTACCTTCTGCTCACTCCGCTCTCTCTCTCTCTTTCGTCGTTCCCTCTCACCGCCGACTCGTCATTGCTGCCGTCGTCGTTTCGTTCCTCCGCCGTTTCGTGTTCCCGCACTCGTTCCGTGATCCACGATCGTCTGGGAACTCTACCGGGTGTGTCCACCGTGTGTAACGTATAGTTCTTTTTCAGGACGTTTGCGATGATTTAAGAATGTACATACGTGGCAATGAGAAGAATCGATATTGAATCTTTGATTAAAGTACAATGCGTTAATTGGGATAAAAATATCAACAATTGATAATTTATATCAGAAATTACTGAAAGATACGAATATTTTTCTAAGGTTAATATATTCTATATTTTCCAATTCTAACACAGACATAGAACAGAAATGAGATAACAATTTTCGATATTAGTGATATGAATGACTTTCGCGCGAGAAGTCAAAAAAGTTGATGAAACAATTCACTTTGCACTTTTTCTTAGGACTTCTCTCCCTGCACTTGACGAAATTTCACGGAGGATTAGGCTGTGTCTCGTGACGCGTCGCCGAGAGAGAGATGAATCATCGTTAGCGAAAGTTTCGCTGTTGTCACCCCCTCCCCCTCTCTCGTCGCGGTACTCGATTAAAGGCATTAGGATCGTCCGCTGTGGCGAGGGTGCGTTCGGGTGGGGGAGGGGGGGAGGGGGGAACTCTGTCGTAAGCGAGGGAGAGGCAGGGGGAACGCTTGTTTGTTCGGCACCTGCCGCTTACGCGCGCGTGTATGAGGTCGCTGGTCCCCTAATCCGATCGTGACGCACGTGCGTGGCGTCTACGGAACCCACTAGGAGAGTTTACACAATGACGCTCCCCCTTCCTCGTTCCCCATCCCCGGAATCCTTCCCCGATCGGGTCGATCGAAGGCGGGCTTCGCCCCCGAATCTATACCGCGATGAATCTCAATGAGGCGTGCGAGGCTGCGACGACGTGACTTTCGTTCCGCCTTTTGCGACTGCTCGCTAATTCATTTAACTCCGGATGACGAACGCGTATATACTTTCGAAGAAACTTTCTTCGGTTTTATCTATCAAAGTGACTTATCGAGATGTAACAAAATTGATCTCCTTACTAATCCTTAGAGCGGAATTGAAAGGTATTTGTGTGCTTGAAGTGCATTTTTTATATATATTTTTTTTATTTTGATGCGGCTGTTAAAATTTGTTTTTTATTTGCCTGTTACGGTATAGCGAATCCTAATGTACGATTAGAATTGTCTATATAAATGTCTACTCTATTTCAGGATAGAGCGACCATTTTTTATTTAGTCCGTCTCGCAAATTATACTTCGCTTCTCTCCGCTAAGAGGAGTTCAAAAAAGTTTGCTTTTGGTGCTTTTAAAACCTTCCATAGTTGGAAGTCTCATTTTGGACGATTAAAATCTCTCCTCGGCATATCCAAATCCCGCATTATCTGGCCAGCTTCGTCGGTTGAACTTTACATATAGTGATTATGGCCAGTCTTGATCCGACACTATCGAGCACACGACGCGTGCGATGCGCTCTCTCTCTCTCTCTCTCTCTCTCTCTCGCTCTCGCTCTCGCTCGCTCGCTCATTCGTCTCTGTTTCCGATGCGGCACGTGTCACCGCGTGTTTCTCCGCTCGTTTAGGGGCTCGAATTAATATTGTCCGAGAACGTTGCGACGCCATTCTATAAATAAAAGCCGAGGAGGGTCGTGACGAAAACGAGTCAACGGGATGATAACGGGGGCAACACATAGGGGGGAGGGGGGGAGCATCGGGACACCAGCATAACTTGATTTTTGGCTTCTTCGAGAGGGCTTCTCTCTTGTCGCGATGCGTCGAAAGCTGAAGCCCATTACATCCTGAGTCTATGTTGCTACGGCAGTTTGTTTTTTACTTAAAATACAAAATATATTACTTTTTTTATCTTTCGACGTGTCTTCGAAATAGTACATAGTTAAATAGTTATTTCGGATAATGGCCCGATAAATTCTCAAAGGTTTTAGTTAAAATCCTCATTAAAGGACGTTTCATGATTTCCGAAATATTCCACGTGCTGCAGTATGCTTAATTTAATAAACGCGTTTTGGAAGTGCACGGGTACGCGGAATTTTGTATCAAAGACACGAACATAATGGCGGATTGTGCGTATAATCGTCAATGCCCGGCCGTCAATGTGACATTATGTTCCACACACGTGCGCCCCGCGTGCGTACACGGGTTCATCGTAATTTTATATTCCGTTACGAAGGGCGGTAGAATGCGTAATGTTGAAATAGCTCCATCATTATCGCCGACATGTTCCACATATCATTCTATGCATCATTTTATATATTTTGCGCGAGAGCGCTATAGTAGCTTATCACAAAGCTGCATAGAGCTATTTGTTACGTTAAATATTTATGGACTATTAAAAATTGCGTATCAAACGCCAAGATGAATTACGTGAGGCACAATGCGTGTGTATCTCACATTTAATTACATTTGCCTATGTTGCATATCATACAACGAGTACAATGAAAATAAAATCACATTCTAATAGTTTTTCAAGTAATTTTAGCGAAAGCAAAAAGTAAAATTTTATTTTTATTTAATTTTTAAAAAGTTTTAGTGGTAAATTGAAAATTTGTAAGGAGCGGTGTCATGTTTTTTTTTTTTTTTTTTTTTCCTCGAAGATAGTAAAGGTCTGTCGGAGAGTTCACGTATTCGAGGAATCTAGGGCAGTGCTATATACGGTGATTTTTTTTTCAAGGCACCCAGCGCGTCGTCAAATCGCCATCTCCGACGGCCATAATTGCATCTATTGTCGCAAAAGAATTTCGTCGCCGTCCATACTCTCGCAATTGATCGCACGATCGATGCTTATTTATTAGCGGCTCTCACCTCTTTCCCCTCTCGTCTCTTTCTTTCTATTTTGACATCGCTGTTGTTTTTGATTTTTCCCCTACCATTCTCGCTTTGCGCTCGCCTCCCGCGATCGATCAATCACTCGCGTTTTCCAGCGCGTCGCGACGCGTCGTCGGCGCGTCGATGGTAACGGATCGGCGGCCGCGGAATGTGACATTACGGATTTCGCAATAAATGCGGCGACACGCGCGGACGATTTTCCCGTAGCCGCGCCGCCCGCGCCGGGAGAGAGCCGGTGCGCCGCGCGCGGCGCGTATAACGACCGCAATGCAGATTTTTATGCGCGACACGCATAATATCGGCGTCGCGGACACGCGCCATGTAACATGTAACTGGCAACCGATTGGCGCGCGGTAGTTTGGCAAATGCCGGCGTTATCGCTGGAAAAGTGGGACGTGATGCACCGCCGGAGAGGTGAATAGAATCGCCGACGAGGGCGAATCAAACTCCGCGTTAAAAACTTACCCGCCAACTTAGTTCCGCTCGCGCTTCGGTTTGTTATACTAATTTTTCTGGAATAGAGAAGGAGGCAATTATACTCTGGTACTTTCTTCGCATTACGCTTGCTTTTCGATTTTACTTCCCAGTCACATTTATCTTCCGTTAAATCGAAGAGATGGATGACGAATGAGATAATCGAACAGCAGATAATTTCACAAAAACAACGCTGTTAAAATTATCGATTGAAATTTTCTTTCGACAATTTTATTTCAATGAATATATAGCTGCGTAAGACTTTGACTCATTTCGTATCTTCATATTTTCATGTCGAAGTTACAATAAAAAATTAATCGATAATTTTACGTCATTATAACGCTTAATTCGGATTGG